GTCCACCTTCTTACCCCTTCCTCCAATTTTCTCCAACCCTTCCCCCCAATTTTCCTTTTTTATTTATTTCAGGAGTTTATGTCTGCCTTATCAAGGTCCGTCCACAATCAGAGGAGTTGCTCCAGGCCCTCAGTACGGCTGATACATCAGTCTATGGGTGGGCAACACTGGTCAGTGAACGTGGCAAGAATGGAATGCAAAGAATCCTCATTCCTTTCATCCCAGCCTTTCACATTAACCAGTCAGAACTGACTCTTAACCACAAAGACACTGGGGAGATAAAAGTATTGGGAGTGGACAGAGTTCTTGAAAACCTAGAGGTATGTTTCCCTCTAAACCAAAATAGGGATTTGAAATTCATTCTCATTCCATGGTTAAAATTACTAGGTAACCTAATTTAAAAATTACCAGTTTTTTTTTCTTTTTCTGCCAGTTCTGGGACTCAAACTCAGGGCCTGGACATTGTCCCTGAGCTTCTTTGGCTCAAGGCTAGCACTCTACCACTTGAGCCACAGTCCCACTTCGGGCTTTTTCTGTGTATGTGGTACTGAGGAATCGAACCCAGGGCTTCTCGTGCATGCTAGGCGTGCACTCTACTGCTGAGCCACCTTCCCAGCCCGAGGAATTTTTTGTGTAATGCCCTAGGGACTGAACTCTAAGGATCTTATACTCTTGCTTAGCTTCTTTTGCGCTAGGCTGGCACTATGCCAGCTGGAAATGTATTTCCAGCAGTTTGCTGACTGGAAGAGTGAGACTTTTCTGCCGTAACTGGCTAAGATCTCAGTCTCCTGATTAGCTAAGACTACAGGTGTGAGCAAACTATTCTGAAGCTGACATCTGATAGCAGCAAGCAGAAGCCAGTAGGGCAGACAAATCCTTAAGACTGGGCTACAATTTACTAGCAAAAAGCTAGAAATAGATGTTTTTTTTTTTTGGGGGGGGGAGGTCCGGTCGTGGGGTCTGAATTCTGGGCCTGGGCACTGTTCTTCAGCTCAAGGCTAGCACTCTACCATTTCAGCCACAGCACCACTTCCGGCTTTTTTCTTTTTGCTTATATGGTGCTGAGGAATTGAACCCAGGGCCTCAGGCATGCAAGGCAAGCGCTCTACCACTGAGCCACCTTCCAAGCCCCTAGAAATAGATGGTTTTTGACTCAAGAAAGTTGAGTGCTACATATGAGTTGAAAACGCTGGAGCGGAAGATGCCGAGTCGAGAGTTTAGTGCTACATGTGAGTTGAAAAAGCTGGAGTGGAAGATGCTGAGTTCAAGCTCTAGTACTGCCATGCACGTGCACACTCATGAAAACTTGTTCCCTTCACAATTGAGGTTACTCAGGTTAGACTAAACTTTAAATCAACTGTGGCTGGCTAGAAATAGACCTTAATTCCTGTATAAAATTCAAATACACTGATTCTTCTTTCAAATTTTTTTTTACCTTTTCTCCAAGGTTTTCCCTAGCTCCCCTTTTCTACAGGTCTCTGGCCACAAGCATTCTCCCTTCACACCAGGCCTGGATATTTACCTGGTAAGAGTTGTCAACTTCACTGCCTTCCAGCAGATGGAATCCCCTGTTTTCATTAATATTTCCTGCGCACTCACCAAACAAAGTGAGGCTGTGGTAGTGAGAGCCATGAAGGATAAATCTAGTAAAGGTAAGTATGGGGACGCCCAATGTGTAGTTTGCCAGTCCTGGGGCTTAAACTCAGGGCTTGGGCACTGTCCCTGAGCTTTTTTGTTCAAGGCTAGCACTCTACTAGTTGAGCCACAACCTTCCTTCCAGTAAGAATGTCACTTTCATGCACAGGCTATTTAATCTGGGTGGTAAGTCTATTATTCAGTTTTGCTAATGGAAAACAATCACTTGGGAAAACTACTGAATATGGCTAGATTTTATGCTAGTAATACTATGAGGTGGGTATAGTGACAAAGGTCTATAATCCTAACACTAAGGGAACTGCCATGATTAGCATGTCAGCTTGGGATTCCCTGAAAGACCTATCTCAAAAAAATAAAATAGGGCTGGGAAGGTGGCTCAGTGGTAGAGCGTTTGCCTTGCATGCCTGAGGTCCTGGGTTCGATTCCTCAGCACCACATAAGCAAAAAAGAAAAAAAGCCAGAAGTGGTGCTGTGGCTCAAGTGGTAGAGCCTTGAGCTGAGGGACAGCGCCCAGGCCCAGAGTTCAGGCCCCACGAGGGGACCCAAAAATAAATAAAATATACAAATCTTAGCCTCGGTGGCTCCCACCTATAATCCTAGCTACCCGAGGCTGAGATCTGAGGATCAGTCTGAAGCCAGTAGACTGGGAAGGTAGCCCAGTACTGGGTTCAATTCCTCAGCACCACATAAACAGAAAAAGCCCAAAGTGGTGTTATGGCTTAAGGATAGAATGCTAACTCTGAGCCTAAGAGAGCTGAGGGAAAGCACCAGCCTAAAGTTCAAGCCCCTTAACTGACAAAAAAAAAAAGACACCAGAAGTGGCTGTGAATCAAGTGGTAGAATACTACCCTTGGGCATAGAAGCTCAGGGACAACATGGTTAATTGGAGATAAAGAGTCTCATGGACTTTCCTGCCCATGATGACTCTGAACCACAATCCTCAGATCTCAGCCTCCTGCATAGCTAGCATTATAGGCATGAGCTCAGGGCCTGGGCACTCTACCACTTCAGCCACAGTGCCACTTCTGGCTTTTTCTGTTTATGTAGTGCTGAGGATTTGAATTCAGGGCTTCACACATGCTAGCAAGCACTTTGCCACTAAGCTACATTCCCAGTCCCCCCCCCTTTTTTTTTTTGGGTCCGGTTGTGGGGCCTGAACTCTGAGCCTGGGTGCTGTCCCTCAGCTCAAGGCTGGCGCTCTACCACTTGAGCCACAGCACCACTTCCAGTTTTTTTGCTTATGTGGGGCTGAGGCATCCAACCCAGGGCCTCATGCATGCAAGGCAAGCGCTCTACCACTGAGCCACCTTCCCATCCCCCCGCCCCCACCGTCCCCTTTTATGTATTGTTTTAACCCTTGGAAGTATAGATGGCACTTTTCCTTTTCTTCTAAGGAACCAAAAAGAGGGAGGTAGACAAAAGGGATTCCAGAGTCCTACCAGTAGAATTCTCAATATATGACATATTACAATATTGAGTCTATGAATACAGATACTCCATAAAGCTTTAATGGGACATATAAAATCAGTAACATCAATAAGCTACAAATACTGTCAGAAGAATGCATTTATCACCAATAGAATCCAGATGCCATACTCATGTTCTGATCATTATATTTCAAAATTTCACTTAATAGATGTATACCTAGGTTGGTATTTTGGGGGGGGGGGGGGGCGGGCCTTGAATTAAAGGTGTGGGTGCTGCCTCTTACCATTTTCTGCTTAAGGCTGGTGCTCTACCACTTGAGCCACAGCTTAACGTTGTTAGTTAAATGGACTCACATGGACTTTCCTGGCCAGGCTGGCTTCTAACCTAGAACCTCATTCTCCTGAGAATTATAGCATGAACCACCCACACCCAGTTTACTCTTATGACCATGTCCTCAAATGCAGCATCTGCTTTGTCTTACAAAATAACTATTTTCGGTTATATCCAATGTGTAGATCAGTGTGCAAATCCAGGTGTCTTCAAGCGGTTCGTTGGTTCTTACCAGATCCTCCTCTTTACCCTCTTTGTGGTGTTGGCATCAACAGCTTTCATCTTTCTAGGTAAGGAGTCCTTATGTCTGCACCGTGGACTTTGACTTGGAAATTGCCTTCATTTTATTGCACAAACTGAGGATGAAAATTAGCTGTTTATCATGCCTAATTTATGAAAAGGAAATGACACCGAGCTATAGCCTCCCTGGCTCACCCATTACTTCTTTACCAAAAGTAATAAACTGGGTATAGCAAACTATGAATAGTGGAAACTCCTACTAATAAACCTTGAGAAAAACAGGTACTGTTGTTCCAATCCATGGCTAAGGAGTCAAGCAATATAACATATCACTATTGCCCACCAATAGTCTCACCTGTACTTTAAGTTGAACTGAAATTTCCCGTTAGTAGTGTACTGCCACTCAATTATAATTCCCCCCAGTATTGATGGAGGACTTAGGATAGCCAAAGTCCACACTCAAGCACCTTCTATAATTCAGTGGTTCCACTAAATGCTTATGTCTGTGTACATCCTCCTATATATTTCCAATTATATCTAATTACTACAGATGCCTATATTCTCTATATTAAGGGCATAACAAAAAAAAAAGGCCTCAGGTACAATCCTTGGATAGTAGAATGGACACAGTAAAGTGAATTATTACCTTTTATCCTAAACCTGGGTTTATAAAGGACTTTACTCAAATTCTTAATCGTTCTTTGTTACATCTCCCTTTTCCAGCATATAGTGCTGTTCTAAATAAGATACAGACTGTTCCAGTTGTGTATGTACCAACTATAGGAGCAACACAACAAGGTAACAGCCACTGTCCTCATCTTTGAGCTCAGATACATCTTTACTTACAAGTCATCATTTCCATTCCCTCTTTATTTCTAGGTTCTTATACTACCACATGTCCTCGTCCTCCCTCCTCTCCTTTCCTGAGTGCACAGCCCCCAGCAGGCCAGAGCCGACTACAGAATTGGCTATGGACAAGAAGGTACTAACATGTACTTGGACAAGTCATCCATAAACGTAGGAAAATGGGAAGTTTCTAGCTCTAAACAAGGAGAAGCCTAGCAGCAAACTATACTAATTCTCTAAAGGCTGTTGAAAACTGTAAATAAAGGATGCGAGGGCTTTTTGTTAACTTTGTTGGATTGTCTTAAAGATGAACAGTTCTTAATATTAGGAAAACAAATCACAAATAAACTTTATCTAGCACCTTAAGGTCCCAAATAGACTTTTTTGAAGTTACTTGGCCACTTACTTGCCTCAAAAGACTAGCATTCTTCTCTTCTGGTTGCCCCTGAATACTTGAGGCAGGAAGTTCCTAGCAGTTAAACAAGACAATGAACACGATATATCCAAAATGTGTTTATTGGGATGGTTTCCCATTCATCTTGGTTCACGGTGCTTTTAATGCTGCTTCCTTCTGAAGGAACATCCTGGAGGGAAAAAGTACAAAGGTTACATGACTTCCACCTATCTACCCTCCCCATTGCCTCACCCACCTCCACAAAATTAGATGCCACAGTACTTATTTTTCAACTCCACTAGCTATACCCTATTTAACTATGTACCATTTCCTATTTGCCTGAGCCTATTAGAAACCCTTTAATCAAAACCCATCAATCCTAGCCTTACTCAACAGTGTTGACACACTAGCATACTTTTTGATAATGCCTATTTGTATAAAAGACAGGAAACACAAGTCAGTCTGCAGTTACATGTATAAGATTTCTCACTAAGGAATTCTAGGACAAAAAGCACCACCTGGAAGGGCACCAGTGACTCACAGCTTTAATTGTATCTACTCAAGAGACTCAGATCTGAGAGTCACAGTTCAAGGCCAACCTGGGCAGTTAAGTCTGAGGCTCTTAATCTCCAATTAATCCCAAAAGGCCAGAAGTGGAGCTCTGGCTTTGAGCACAAATGTGCTCAGGGACAGCAGCCAGGCCATAACCCTGAAAGGGTCTTTAAACAATCAAAAAAAAAAAAAAAACACCACAGCATCATTTAGACCATTTACCTTCTGTAAGCCTTGCTTTTCCTCCTGTAGGCTGGCAGAGGACAGTAGAGCAACCAACACACAAAACTACTGTTTGTGCATGGCTAAAGACCGTGGTGATTTTATAGCATCCTAGAAAAATATAGTCAAGCAGCGAAAGGTTAATAGTTTTCAATTGCTACCCTTAATCATTTCTAACTCGTCCCATTGGTGTTTCCTGTGGAATATGGAGACTTCGATGGGGAATCATTAACTCCAAACACTCCAAAAACTGCACGTTGCTAGTCACATACATTTTAACTTTAATAAATCAGGAGTAGCAGTGTATCTATTTTACAGACTACGAACGCAGGCTGACAAGTTGCTTTAAGGATACAGCACAAGTGACACTACAACTGGTCCCCGTTGCTCTCCCACTGTCCGGCCAGTCAACTTACCTGGGCATTTCACGTCCATGAAGTAGGAATTGGGGCTCTGCACCAGGCGCTTCTTCTTGTGTTTCCTCTTCTCCTCTTCAGGAGAGGGATGAAGGAGATCCTTTGCGAGCTAGAGGAGGCAGGAGCGCGGAGATTTAGAAAGCAACGGAGAAAGGAGGGAAATAAAAAGAAGTTCCTACGGCCACACACCGGGGGAAACTCGCCCCTCGCCGCCCCTGGCGTCTGCGCAGCTGGGCCGCCATCTTATCTCCTCCCCGCCCCCGTCAAGACGGGTGGCCCTCGGCCGCGGCGGCTCCTGGAGTTAAACGCCCTAAGAAGTGCAGCGAGTCTACAAACGGGGCTGCTCTAGGACCCAAAACCAGCGTAAGGAGGGGCACGAGCACCGCAGAAGGAGAACTCAGCCGAAACCTCGCCCAGGGCACTCACAGGCATGTTCTCGGGAGGAGGTCGTCACCGCCGGAAAGGAGCGAAAGCGGAAATCCTGCGCCTTATATAGGGACTCTCACCGGAAGTGGCGTAACGAGCTTGCCCCGCCATGTTGGGAGGGTCAGAACCTCGTCGGCAGTGGGGCGTGGCGGGGCCGCCATTTGCAGAAGGGATCGTTTGTAGTCGCTTCGCAGATGATGCGTCGCCATGTTGCGAGTCCCGTGTTGAGCTCCTTGGAGGGGTTGACGCACACTGGCTGGTAAACGGAGCAGCGGAGGCAAACGACACAAGACCGCGCCATATCGAGGGCTTGTTTTATTTTTCAATTACCGATATTGCTTACTATTTAGTAATTCTGCATGTAAATAGTCTGTTTAGTATTCTATCAGGGCTGGGAAGGTGGCTCAGTGGTAGAGTGCTTGCCTCGCATGCATGAGCTCTGGGTTTGATTCCTCAGCACCACATAAGCAGAAAAAAGCCCAAGTGGTAAGATGCTAGCCTTGAGCTTAAGAGCTGAGGGACAGCGCCCAGGACCGACCATATACGTGTGTGTGTGTGTTCCACTTAACAATCATGGATAAGCCTCCCACCTGTAATGCTAGCTACTCACAAGGCTGAGATTTGAGAATCCGAGTTCAAAGCCAGCTTGAATGAGAAAGTTGACCGAGATTCATCTCCATTTAACCACTAAAAAAAAAAAACAAAAAACAAGTAGAGCTGGTTATGTGGTAGAGCGCTAGCCTGGATCATGGAGCTGGGTGCTGGTGGCTCCTGCCTATAATCCGAGCTACTCAGGAGGCTGAGATCTGAGGATCGTGATTCAAAGTCAGCCAGGGCAGGAAAGTTCATGATACATTTTTTTTTTTTTTTTTGTCAGTCCGAGGGCCTGAACTCTGGGCCTGGGTGCTGTCCCTCAGCTCTTCAGCTCAAGGCTAGCACTCTACCACTTGAGCCACAGCGCTACTTCTGGCTTTTTTCTTTTTGCTTATGTGGTGCTTAGGAATCGAACCAAGAGCCTCATGCATGCAAGGCAAGCACTCTACCACTGAACCACCTTCCCAGCCCTCCATGAGACTCTTATCTCCAATTAACCACCAGAAAACAGAAAGTAGCCCTGTGGCTCAAATGGTTGACTGCTCACCTTGAGCTGAAGAGCGCTGGGACAGTGTCCAGGTCCAGAGTTCAAGGTCCATGACCAACAAGAAAATAATGATAATAGGGTCTGGGAAGGTGGCTCAGTGGTAGAGTGCTTACCTTGCATGCATGAGGCCCTGGGTTCGATTCCTCAGCACCACATAAGCAAAAAGAAAAAAGCCAAAAGTGGCGCTGTGGCTCAAGTGGTAGAGCGCTAGCCTTGAGCTGAAGAGCTCAGGGACAGCGCCCAGGCCCCACGACCAGACCCCCCCCCTCCAAAAAAAAATAATAATGTGGTTTGAAGCCAGGCACTGGGAGCACAAGCCTATAGTGCTAGCCTCTTAAGAGGCTGAGATCTGAGGATTATGTTTCAAAGCCAGCCAGGACAGAAATCCTGGAGACTCTCTAATTAACCACAAAAAGCTGAAGTGGAGCTGGGAATGTGGCCTAGCGTGCCTAGCATGCATGAAACTCCTCACTATACATAAACAGAAAACACTGCAAGTGGCACTGCGGCTCAAGCGGTTGAGTGCTAGCCTTGGGTGAAAGCAGCTCAGGGACAGTGCCCAAGCCCTGAGTTCACACCCAGGACTGAAGAAAAAAAAGGCTGGGGCTGTGGTTCAAGTTCAAGTGGTAGTAAGCTAGCCCTAAGCAAAAAGAGTTCAGGTACAACCTTCGGCTGGTAATTCAAGCCCTATTACTGGCACACACACATATTAAGACTAAAGTCTAAAAGACAACCAGCCATGCAAAGATCCTAGGAGAAAAGCATTCTATGCTGCAAGGCTAGAATGAGTCTGGCATAGAAAGAGTAAGTCAGTAGTTACCTATGATTTGAAAGCCTAGGGGAGGAATAAAAGCAGGTATACACCAGCCTAAGTCTTAGAGAGAGGTAAATAGAACAATAATATATTGCTGGAAGTGCAAAATCCAGACCCAACCACATAGAAAGATAGAAAGAAAAAGACTTTTATAACTTTTATCAAAATAATTCATGGTAACTGAACAATTGTGTGTGTGTGTGTGTGTGTGTGTGTGTGTGTGTGTGTGTGTGTCCTTGTGCTCTTGCTTAGCTTTTTTTTTTTTTTTGGTCAGTCATGAGGGCTGAACTCTGGGCCTGGGCGCTGTCCCTCAGCTCTTCAGCTCAAGGCTAGCACCCTATCACTTGAGCCACAGCACCACTTCCAGCTTTTTTCCGCCTATGTGGTGCTGAGGAATTGAACCCAGGGCCTCATGTATGTGAGGCAAGCACTCTACCACTGAGCCAACTTCCCAGCCCCTTGCTTAGCTTTTTTACTGAAGTCGGGTGCTCTACTATTTGAGCCATGTTCTTGTTTCTGGCTTTTTGCTAGTTAATTGGAAATAAGAGTCTCATGGTGGACAGGGCTAGGAAGGTGGCTCAGTGGTAAAGCGCTTGCCTTGCATGCATGAGGCCCTGGGTTCAATTCCTTAGCACCACATAAGCAAAAAAGAAAAAAAGCCGGAAGTGGCGCTGTGGCTCAAGTGGTAGAGCGCTAGCCTTGAGCTGAAGAGCTGAGGGACAGCGCCCAGGCCCAGAGTTCAGGCCCTACGACCGGACCCAAAAAAAAAAAAGAGTCTCATGGTGGGACTGGGAAGGCAGCTCAGTGGTAGAGTGCTTGCCTCCCATGCATGGGTCCCTGGGTTTGATTCCTCAGCACCATATAAGCATGAAAAGCTGGAAGTGGCGATGTGGCTCAAGTGGTAGAGTGCTAGCCTTGAGCTGAAGAACTGAGGGACAGTGCCCAGGCCCAAAGTTCAGGCCCCACAACCAACAACAAAACAAAAGAGTCTCATGGGGTTTTGTCTGTACTATAATCCTCAAATCTCAGTCTTCTAAGTAGTTACGATTGTAGGCATGAACCATCAGTGCCGGACTATATTGAGTACTTAAGGGACAGGTGAAACATGGTTGTGTCAAGGAGGAAAAATTTGGAAGGGATTGAGGTAAAAGATAGGAGAGAATAGAAAGGAATTGAGGCTTGGGCACATAGCTCAGTGGTAGAGTGCTTGCCTAGCAGGCACAAGGCCCTAGGTGGATGCTTAGGACTGGGGGAAAATAGAATTGAGCTGTGATACACATTTGTAGTCCCAGCAACTAGGGAAGTGGAGGCCAGGAGACCCCTTGAATCCAGGAACTAAGGAACTGAATAGCTGTTACTGAGAAGAGGGGAACATGGATATAAAGGACTGGAAGTGTGACTCATGTGATAGAGGACTTGCCTAAAAAAGGGGCAGCCCTGAGTTCCAATTGTCAAAGCAAAACAAAGCTGGGCACCTGTGGCTCATGCCTGCAATCCTAACTACTGAGGAGGCTGAGATCTGAGGATCACAATTTGAAGCCAGACCTGCAGGAAAGTCTTTTTTTTTTTTTTTTGCCAGTCATGGGGCCTGAGCTCGGGGCCTGAGCTCTGGGCCTGGGCGCTGTCCCTCAGCTTTTCAGCTCAAGGCTAGCACTCTACCACTTGAGCCACAGCGCCACTTTTGGCTTTTTCTGCTTATGTGGTGCTGAGGAATTGAACCCAGGGCCTCATGCATGCAAGGCAAGCACTCTACCACTGAGCCACCTTCCCAGCCCTCCATGAAAGTCTTATCTCCATTTAACTACCTAAAAACCTTTGAGCTATATAGCTCTAAAAGGTAGAGCACTAGCCTTGAGCAAAAAAGCTCAGAGGCAATGTCCAGGCCCTGCAGATGGCACAAAAAAAGAAAAAGCCAGGCACTGGTGGCTCACGCCTGTAATCCTAGCTACTCAGAAGACAGATCTGAGAATCACCAGGTCAAAGCCAGTGAGGGCAGGACCATGAGATTCTTATCTCTAATAAACTACTCAGAAAAAGCCAGAAGTGGTGTTGTGGCTCAAGTGGTAGAGCACTAGCCTTGAGTACAAAGAGGCTCAGGGACAGGGCTAGGCCCTAAGTTCAAGCCCCAGGATTCGCAAAAAAAAAAAAAAAAGAAAAAAGGAGGAAACAAAACATGGTCATAGGTAACAAAGTAAACTGACAAAAGATGCTTTCTCATAACTAGTACGCATTTTTATGATAGAGACATATCTTTAGAAAAGATTATGGGGAGAAAAATACAGTCAGGATTTCATCATATATACCACAAAATTAGGAAAAGTAAAGGAAGGGGTAGGCCAATGGGGGGAGGGCGACACTGATGGGACCTATACAATCAATAATCAAGATACATTATATTCATAAGCTGCTTTGTTAAATGGCACCTCCTTTGTACAACTACTTTTTTTTTTTGTCAGTCATGGGACCTGAACTCTGGGCCTGGCCGCTGTCCCTTCAAGCTGTAGACTAGCGCTCTACCACTTGAGCCTCAGCCCCACTTCCAGCTTTTTCTGCTTATGTGGTGCTGAGGAATCGAACCCAGGGCCTCATGCATGCAAAGCAAGCACTCTACCACTGAGCCACATTCCCAGCCCCCTGTACAACAACTTAAATGTAATAAAATATTAAAAAAAGAAAGCAAGGTTACTTTGAATAATGTTTTCCAAAGGTCAAGATAAAAATTCTGTTTCTTTATAGCAATGTTGTCTATACTTAAGAGTCTAAGTTGCTAAATCTCAACTTTCCCAGACCATTTTGAATAGCAAGATGCCAGACACACTGTCCCATTACCATTAACAAGCGATGTTCATACATACATACATATATATATGCATACATATCGACCGACATAAAGAGTGTTTAAATCCCATTCTCTGTGTTCTTGAGCTATCTGATCAAAAAAGAAAAATCACACACCAGAAGGCCTCAAAACGAAAACTCTTCGGACTGAAGAATGGGGAAGAGGAGATACAGGGAAGAAGGCTGTGTGTAGTTTGTTTTGGGGGTGTAGCGGGGTGGGCTGATTTATAACTAGCTTCTAACTATAACTAGTTTAATGTTCACTGTGTTCCACCAGGGGGCAGATGTACCCAGTAAATCACTTGCCACTTCTGGGCTCCCGCTCTTTCCAAAGGGAGCTGGAGTCCATAAAACTGAGGGCGTGAGAACACGCAACACTAGGGTTCCAGGACCTGTGGCGGCCTCGGGAAGGCTTCTGAGCGACCTTGAAAACCCAGCTTCTGCTTTTGATGACTTTCCAGTGCCAGCCCCAACCTCCACCCTCTGAGTCCAAATTCTTTGCCCTTCCCCTCATTAAAGAAAGAAATCTCTTTTCCCGGTCGTCTGGTTGGCCCTGGGCTTCCCTTCACCCCAGCCTCTCCAGCTCAGAAGAACTGACAGGAACGACCCGAGAGGAACCACAAGCTCCCGGCAGGTTGCGGGGCCCGGGCCGGGAAGGACCGGAGCCGGAGGACCCGGGGCCCGGCCCGGCCCTCGCCTCGCCGCGGGAGGGGGCGGAGTCGGCAGGAGTTGCCGCCTCTCTCTTTCCCGGAGCTTGGGCGGAGAGGGAGGGAAACTTCTTCCTGGCCTGGGCTCGGGGCCCACTCGGTCCGCCAACCCTCCCATTCCTCCTCCAACCAGTGCCGAGCCCTTCCCCACCCCTCTCCCCGCAGCCCCCAGTGTCCGCCATGGCCAAAGCCTACGACCACCTCTTCAAGTTGCTGCTGATCGGGGACTCGGGGGTGGGCAAAACTTGTCTGATCATTCGCTTTGCAGAGGACAACTTCAACAGCACCTACATCTCCACCATTGGTGAGACCACACTGACCTCCGATTCCCCCTGCACCTTACTTAGGGACTCTGCTTTTCTGTCCTCTTAGAAAATCACTTCTAACTCCAGCCCCTGACCTCTGGCTCGACCCCCCCCCCCCCTTACCGGTCTCTAACCTGTGACCTCTCTGAGGCTCCCTCCCCTACCTGTTCACCTAGGGCTCTCCATCTGCTCTTCACCCTTCCTGCCTCTCTCTACCAACAGCTGTCCTTACTTCTGCTGGCCAATTCTTTCTGTTCCGCTAGCTTGCTCCTTGCATCCCCTCACCTTCAGATCTGTTTCCTACGTTCCCTCCCCTCTGCAGGGTTTTGGGTATCTGGGTGGCTGGGTATCTGGGGGTGGGGGTGGCTGTTTGACTGTGATCATGCATATGCATTCGCCTGTTGATGGGAATGAGGGGACTTTTGGGGTCTCTGAGTCATCCCTCTGGTGACTCATCCTTTTCTCTGGATCCCCCAGCAGGCTCAGAGGAGGTTCCTAAGTGTTTCTGCTTAGTGCTGTGTCTCCTCTCTTCCTCTCATTTTTCTTTATCTCCTCTGGCCTGGGAAATAAGACCAGAAGAGCCTCAAAATAATTCTGGTTACAAAGAAAAAGGAAATCTATCCCTCTCGCCTACCCCAGACTCAGGAGGAATCCTGGTGAATCTTAATTCAAAGTGGATCACTAGTTAGTTGGCAAAGACTGGCCAACTACCTTTTCCCTTATTGGCTGTGGTGTGTGTGTGTGTGTGTGTGTGTGTGTGTGTGTGTGTGTGTGTGTGTGTGTGTGTGTCTTGGGGCTGGAAGTGTGGTGTGTGTGTGTGTGTGTGTGTGTGTGTGTGTCTTGGGGCTGGAAGTCTGATCTTGTGCATTGTTCCTGAGTTTCTGTGCTCAAGACTAGTGTACTACCACTTGAACCACAAAGCCACTTCTAACTTTTTGGCAGTTAATTGGAGATCGTTTTAGGGAGTTTCTTGCCTGGGTTGCTTTGAACCTCGATCCTCAGATCTCAGCCTCCTGAGTAACTAGGATTACAGATGTGAGCCACAAGCATCGGCCCTTTTCCCTTACTCATTACCCCATAATGCCAGGAAGGTAGTGAGTACCGACAGGTTCTATGAAAACAGGAGAGAGGAATAAGGAATGTGAAAATAATATTTGGGAGGAGATAGAGGCTGAAGCCTAAGAATTGTCAGCTGGCCTAGCCTTATGCTCCTTGCAGAATTTATACCTGGGGGGGAGGGGAAGAGGTACATAATATCTAAGTAAAAACATTATGCTTGCTATATAAATACAGCTTTGAGAAAAAGCCTCCTAAATGTCCACTTCCAACCAAGTTGCTTCCCCAAGTACCAGCCCTAGGGAGTTATTGGCGCTGCCTCTGGTCTCTCCCACCATGCTCTTCTATGCATACATACACTCATCTGGACTTCGGTGCATACATTTCCCCCCTAGGAATTGATTTCAAGATACGTACTGTGGATGTGGAGGGGAAGAAGATCAAACTTCAAGTCTGGTGAGTACACACTTCCCTCCCCATGTCCATACACACACCTAGCCAGCCTTCCCCATTTACCGCCCCCCCCTTTTTGTGTGTGCCAGTCCTGGAGCTTGAACTCAGGGCCTGGGCAGTGTCCCTGACCTTCTTTGGCTCAAAGCCACACAGCACCACTTCCAGCTTTTTCTGTTTATGTGGTACTGAGGAGTCGAACCCAGGGCTTCCTGTATGCTAGGCAAGCACTCTACCACTAAGCCACCTTCCCAGCCTACAATCCGTTGTTTCCATTTTGCTTCGCTTGCCCTGCTTTCCCTGTGGCCGCTTTCTACCACCACTCTTCATTTATTTGCTTAGTCAGCTGTCCTTCCATCTCTCTTCCTGTTCTCCCAGCCATTTTAAGCTGATTTGTAACTGTTGATTCCCTCAGGGTCAAATCATTCTCTGAACTTGAAAACAAATGTCTGTTGAGCTACCGTGTAGAAACAGGGCAAAAATAATTAAGATTTGACTCCAATACTATTGATATCTCTAAATTATAGAGTGGTTACAAGGCCAGGTATAGAGGTTTGACTAAACCACACAAGGAAGTTGGAGACCCTGAAGATATTCAAGGGTTTAGCGGAGAAATTGTATTATAGATAAGAGCAGATAGGGGTTCAGATCCAGGTTCTGATTTATAGTAATTATCCACTCTCTCCAAATCTCTTTCCTCACTGGGAAATGGAAAATAAAACAAGACTTGCTGGCATAGGGTGAGTTCTGGACAACATGATATATGCACATAAAAAAATGCTACTTTTAAGCATGCTTGGCACAGAGTAAGCATTCAATGAGTAAACAAAAGACATCCTGTTGTTTGGTCCTCTTACCATCTCTCAATAGCAACCCAAATGTCTTTCATCCTCTTCCTCCTTTACCATTTCCTGATTCTGGTCTTTCAGCCCCACTATGTTGTAAAAGCTGAAATTCTTAGGGAAGGAATTCTATGCTTGGAGAGACCCCTTTCCTCTATCCCATCCCATGGAAACTTCTTTTTCAGGGACACAGCTGGCCAGGAGCGATTCAAGACAATAACTACTGCCTATTACCGTGGAGCTATGGTATGAAGTGGGTCTAGACAATTGCTGAGGACTTGGGATTAGAATTAGTTTTTGTTTTTGCCAGTTCTGGGGCTTGAACTCAGAGGCCTGGGCTCTATTCTTGAGCTTTTGTGCTCAAGGCTAGTGCTCTACCACTTGAGCTACAGCTCCACTTCTGGCTTTTGGGTAGTTTATTAGAGGTTAAGTGTCTCACAGACTGTCCTGCCTGGGGTAGATTGGTACTATAATCCTCAGATCTCAGCTTCCTGAGTAGCTAGGTTTACAGGTGTGAGCACCAGTGTCTGGCTTAGAATTTGTTTTGTGAGTACAGAAGGGTCAAGTGTTGGGGCAGGTAAAAATGGAGGCACAGTATGAGTTGCAAAGAATACATATAGCTTATGTTTAGCCTGGGAGTGGGATTTGCTGGGTCACCTAGAAGGTAGTGAGAAACCTAAATAGGACTGTGGTCTAAGGTAAACTTCCCTATCCCCCAGGGCATTATCCTAGTATATGACATCACAGATGAGAAATCCTTTGAGAATATCCAGAACTGGATGAAAAGCATCAAAGAGGTAAGGACCCTCTAGAAGAGATGGAGGAACTGAGTCAACACTGTAGGAGGAGAAGGCCAGGATCCAACTTTTTTGTCTTACCCTTCTGCTCCCAGAATGCCTCTGCTGGGGTAGAGCGCCTCCTACTGGGGAACAAGTGTGACATGGAGGCCAAGAGGAAAGTGCAGAAGGAGCAGGCCAATAAGGTGAGGGCCAGGCTGGATGATGCTCTGTAGCAGGGCTGGGAGAATGTACATGAGGTCCGATTGGAGAGGCCTTTGCTGCTGCCCTTTATCCAATGCTGTCCTTCCTACTTCACCCCCTGCAGTTGGCCCGAGAACATGGAATCCGATTCTTCGAAACAAGTGCCAAATCTAGCATGAATGTGGATGAGGTGAGACTCACCTTCCTCCCCATCCCCACTCCCCAAGAGATGGAATATTTTGAGATAGATTGATCCTTCTCTCTGATGTATTCTGAATAATCTGTCATTTAGGCTTTTCGTTCCCTGGCCCGGGATATCTTGCTTAAGTCAGGAGGCCGGAGATCGGTGAGTTGGTTCTACTGAGCCAGGTACCACTCATAGGAGTAAAAACGGAGGAGGAAATCAGTGCTAAGGCTTCCCATGTGGGTCGACTTCAGCTTATAGCCTCAGACCCCCCAAGGAGCCTTTCACACCGTAACCTACTCTTTTTGCCCCCAGGGAAACAGCAACAAGCCCTCCAACACTGACCTAAAAACCTGTGACAAGAAGAACGCCAGCAAATGCTCCCTGGGCTGAGGTCTTTTCTTTGCCTCCTACCCTGAGCCTGGAGGCTCAACCTGAGGGAGGCAGGGCTGAGGTGGGGCTGCACAGGACAGAAATATTGGTGGAATTGGATGGATAGAGCAGTAGGTGGTGTGGAGAATGAGAACAAAAAATGGAAAAAGGGAGAAAAGGAATGCAGGGGCAGGGAGACAGAGGGGAAAGGATCAAGAAAGTGAAAGATGGTAGCGAAGGTAGAAGAAGAAAGAAGAGGGAACAGAGAAAAGATGGCCCCAAGTCTTAGACCCTTCTTTGGGTTGTTGGCTTTTTTGTTTTGTTTGCAGGTGTCTAACATTAATGTAATATATTGATTTATTGTGTTACTAGATTCAGGTGTTAGGTTCCTGAGTCAGGCTGCCAATCTCAGAAGGTTTGTCACTTTGCATGGTCTTTCTTAGTATTAAAGACCACTATTTGCACAAATGACCTGTGTGGATAACTTTCATTATTGTCAGAATTGTTCTACATTCAGAACAATTCTTGTTACTTCAAAGTGGCTGGTCCACTAAGTCTGGCAAGCGAGGAGCAGGAGGCACTTGAGGACACATGGCCCGAACAACTGATTCCCAGAGGACCACGATGGGCAGACAGACTTGTTCTAAGTGCAGGATATTCCAAGGGAGAAAAGTGTAGCCTCAGGTAACAACAGTAGGATCTAATATGGTCTATCCAATGATGTGCGCAGAGTCCATTGAGTTATCTGTAGGTACCACTGTTACTTGTAGATGGGAGAAAATGAGCCAAAGAAGAGATTCATTTATTCATGAATAAATGAGCATCTACTCTACGCCACACACAATGTTCAGTAAACAGTTTTGGACTGGTACTTTCAAGCAGAGGACTAATCAAATTTTAACATAATCATCTCCTGGCTCATGAGAAGCAAACATGCAAAAACTATTGACATGCAGCTAAGCATGGTGGCTCCCGTCTGTAATCCTTGCTACTCAGGAGGCTGAGATCTAAGATCATGGTTTGAAGCCAGCCTGGGCAGGAAAGCCTAATGGGGCTTCAACTCTGGGCTTGGATGCTGCCCCTCAGCTTAAGGTAAATACTACCGCTTGAGCCATCGCACCACTTCCAGTTTTCTAGTGGTTTATTGGAGATGAGTCTCACGTACTTTCCTGCCTGGGCTGGCTTTGAACCGTGATCCTCAGATCTCAGCCTCCTGAGTAGCTAGGATTACAGGTATGAGCCACCCGTGTCCGGCTAAATCCAGGAGACTCTTATTTCTAATCACCAAGAACCAGAAGTGGAGCTGTGCCTCAGGTGGTAGAGCACTGGTGCTTTTTTGCTCAAGGACAATGCCCAGGCCTGAGTTTAAATCTCAGGACCAGAAAACAACAACAACAACAAATCCAAAACTTGACATTGAAAGAATAGCAATCAAAATTCAAGCTGGAGCTGGGAATATGGCTTAGTGGTAGAGAGCTTACCTAGCTTGCCCTGGGTTCAATCCTCACTACCACATAAATAGAAAGTGGCATTGTGGCTCAAGTGGTAGAGTGCTAGCCTTGAGCAAAAGACTCAGGGACAGTACCAGATCTTGAGTTCAAGCCTCAGGACTAGCAAAAAAAAAATCAAGCTTGATAAATATATCCGGTTTCTAGTTCGTTAATTGGAGATAAGAGTCTCACATGCTGGCTTGTAACTGTGATCCTTAGATCTCAGCCTCCTGAGTAGCTAGGAGGCTTATACCTTATACTTATACCCTTATACGTTAGATATAAGGATGATTATAACTAGGAACAATGTTTTTACTTATGGTAGGAATCCAGAAACCAAGAAGAGGGGCTGGGAAGATGGCTCAGTGGTAGAGCGCTTGCCTTGCATGAATGAGGCCCCTGGTTCGATTCCTCAGCACCACATAAACAGAAAAAGCCGAAAGTGGCACTGTAGCTCAAATGGTAGAGCACTAGCCTTGAGCTGCAGAGCTGAGGAACAGTGCCCAGGCCCAGAGTTCAGGCCCCATGATGGACAAAAAAAAAAAAAGACTGGCAGAAACCAAGAAGACTATGAACTTGGGAGTTCATAGTAGAGTCAGGTATTGCATTGATCTGGGCTCAGCTCCACTGATTGAATTATTTGGACTGCAAACAACAGCATTCACCTAACTCAGGACACACAAGTCACCCTATGTCTCAGTTAGGATATCAGTGGCCATCCTGTTTTGAAGTCTTGCCCATCTCATCTTCATGTCAAAGTTTAGTAGAATTAACCCTTAAGTTCTATCACTGTATGTAGCTATAGGATAGCCTGGGTATGAGCAGAAACAAATGAGGTTAAAATATTAACAATGGCCGGGTGCCAGTGGCTCATGCCTTTAATCCTAGCTACTCAGGAGGCTGAGATCTGAGGATCACAGTTCAAAGCCAGCCCAGGCAGAAAAGTCCGTGAGACTCTTATCTCCAATAAACCACTAGAAAACCAGAAGTGGTGCTGTGGCTCAAGCGGTAGAACGCTCGCCTTGAGCTGAAGAGTGCAAGGACAGCGCCCAAGCCCAGAGTTCAAGCCCCACGACCAACCAAAAAATAAATTTAAAAAAATATATATGTATATATTAACAATGTCCAATAAGGAGGAGAAGCTTTAGGTTTCCTCTGGATCTATAGAAATAGCAGATGACAGGGAAGAATGCAAGTTCTTGTCCAGTTGGTACATAGGCAAAGGCATCCAGTAACCATGCTTCTAAACTATTTCTTTTTGGCTTTAGTTACTTTTGGACAGGTGGCAGAAGTGATTCCATTTGGATTCTGATAATATACTTAGTTGTGTGTGTGTGTGTGTGTGTGTGTGTGTGTGTGTGTGATTCTGATAATATACTTTGTGTGTATATGTGTATGTGTGTGTGTTTGTATTAGTACTGGAGCTTGAACTAAGGTCCTCCCTCAGCTTTTTCACTCATGACTGGTACTCTAGCTTTTTGCTATTTGCTGCTTAAATGGAGCCAAGAGTCTCACTAATTAGTCTGCCTGCTGGCTTCCGACCTAGGTCTTCAGATCTCAACCTCCTGAGTAGCTAGGATTATGTGCAGGAGCCCACCACCTATGCCTGGCATTACTCTCTCTTTTTCTTCTCTCTCTCTATTTTTTTTAGTTTAAAATTTTATTGTAAAGATGCTGCAAAGGGGGATTACAGTTACATGAGTAAGGTAATGAATACGTTTCTTATCAAGCATTGTTGCCCCCTCCTATGTCATTCTCCCACTATCCCTTCCCTCCTCCACCTCCCATATATATATATTGTTGGTCGTGGGGCTTGAACTTGGCTTGGGTGCTGTCCCTGCACTCTTCAGCTCAAGGCGAGTACTCTTATCGCTTGAGCCACAGCACCTCTTCCGGTTTTCTAGTGGTTTATTAGAGATAAGAGTCTCATGGACTTTACTGCCCAGGCTGGTTTTGAATCATGATCTTCACATCTCAGCCTCCTGAGTAGCTAGGATTACAGGCGTGAACTACCAGCACCCAGTACTCAGTATTTTTAAAACACAAAGCTTACTTCAAGACAGGAGCAAGTGGCCCTATCTGTAATTTTAGTGCCCAATAGGCTGAGATCTAAGAATTAAGGTTCAGCTAGGTGCTTTTGGCTTACACCTGCAATCCTATTCAGGAAGCTGAGATCTGAAGATTCTGGGACTTGAACTCAGGGCCTGGGCACTGTCCCTGAGCTTCTTTTGCTCAAGGCTAACACTCTGCCACCTGAGCCACAGCCCCACTTCTGGCTTTTTCTGTGTATGTGGTACTGAAGAATTGAACCAAGGGCTTCATGCATGCTAGGCAAGTTCTCTACCACTGTGCCACCTTCCCAGCCGCTGAAGATTGTGATTCAAAGCCAGCCCAAGCAAGAAAAACCATAGACTTTCGTCTTCAATTAACCACCAGAAAACCAGAAGTGAAGCTGTGGCTCAAAGTGGCAGAGTGCTAAGCCTTGAGCAAAAGAGCTCAGGGACAGTGTCCAGGCCCTGAGTTCAAACCCACACCACTACCACCACCACCACCACCAACAACAAAAGAATTGAGGTTCAAAGCCAGCCTGAACAAACAATTCTTATCTCCAGGAGAGTCCTCAGTATAAGCCCCAGTACTGGCACAAACACACACAATAGATCTCATGGATTTCATCTTTTATAGGATCAGTGGAAGCCAGGCGCCGGTGGTTCACACCTGTAATCCTAGCTACTTAGGAGGCTGAAATATGAGGATTGCGGTTCAAAGCCAGTCCGAGCAGGAAAGTCCGTGAAACTCTTAACTCCAATAAACCACTCAGAAAACCAGAAGTGGCGCTGTGGCCATCAAGCAGTAGAGCACTTGCATTGAGCTGAAGAGCTGAGGGACAGAGCCCAAGCCCAGAGTTCAAGCCCCAAGACCGACCAAAAAAAAAAAAAAAAAAATACAATTAATGGAAATGTTAGATTTGGCTTTGACAAATTGTACTGTTTTTTTTTACTGACATTGGGTGGGTGTGAAACTCAGTGGTATAGCATTTGCTTTGCATGGGCAAGGCCCTGGTTTTGATCCCCTGCACTAATGGAGGGAAATAAAAGGTGATTTGCTTTTGTTTTGATTTTTTGCCCCAAGCTGGCCTCAAAGTAGACTCTTTATCTTCAGCCTCCCTAGTGCTGGGATTACAGATGAGTGCATTACGATGCCTGACAAAAACAAACAGGAAGTTTTAGTTATAAATCTAATGTGCAAAGCAATTAAAATGCTCCAACCTTTCAGTGTAAAAGTAGAAGCCACTGAGAGACAGTGGCTCACGCCTATAATCCTAATTACTCAGGAGGCTGAGATCTGAGGATTGTGCTTCAAAACCAGCCCAGGTAAGAAAGTCTGCGAGACTCTTATCTCCAATTAAACACCAAAAAACTGGAAGTGCAGCTGTGCTTCAAGTGGTAGAGCACCAGCCTTGAGCAAAGAAGCTCAGAGACAAGGCGTTGGCCATGACTTCAAGTCCCAGGACTAGTAGATCCTTAGTTCAAATCCCAAGACTAGAACACACACACACACACACACACACACACACACACACACACACACACACACACACACACACGCAGACCTAAGAGACATCAGTAAAGTCTTTTTGTTATTGATAAAAGACTCAAAAAAAAAAACTTTGTTGAGAGATATAACAGTATGATAAGTATAACAAAATAATTTGATAAATGTATTCAGCTTTGGTAAGCAGTACTTCCTTTTTTTTTTTCTTTTCTTTTTATTTTTTTTTTGGTCTGTAATAGGACTTGAATTCAGGGCTAAGGTGCTATACCTTAGCTTTTTTTTTTTTTTGGTCCAGTCGTGGGGCCTGAACTCTGGGCCTGGGCGCTGTCCCTCAATTCTTCAGCTCAAGGCTAGCGCTCTACCACTTGAGCCACAGCGCCACTTCCGGCTTTTTTCTTTTTGCTTATGTGGTGCTGAGGAATCGAACCCAGGGCCTCAGGCATGCAAGGCAAGCGCTCTACCACTGAGCTACCTTCCCAGCCCCTATACCTTAGCTTTTATGTTCAAGGCTAGTGCTCTATCACTTTGAGCCAAAGCTTACTTCTGGTTTTCTGGTAGTTAATTGGACATAAGAGTTTCATGAACTTTCCTGCCCTGGCTGGCTCAGAACCATGATCTTCATATCTCAGTCTTCTGAGTAGCTAGAATTATAGGTGTAAGCCATCAGCACCCCGCAGTTTTTTCTGTTTTTAATTTACTGTTGTTTTAGAGGTGACACATAACAGGGTTACCTTTATCTATGTCAAGTAATAAGTATAATGTCATCTGTTCCCTCATAGTATTTTCTTTTTTTTTAATGTGCAGCATTTTCTGTAACTTTTACTGTAGTCAGCTGTGACTAAGCTTGCCCTTTGGGACTTTCAGGAAGGAAACCAACTGAAATCTTCATCGTGCCCCAGGGCAAATATTTGTGTGTGGGGTTTGAACTCAGGGCCTGGGTACTATCTCTGAGCTTTTTTGCTTAGGGCTAGAACTCTACCACTTGAACTATGTAGCTCCACATTTGGCTTTTTTGGTGATTCATTGGAGATCAGAGTCTCACAGACTTTCCTACCCTAAACCAATATCCTCAGATCTCAGCTTCCTGAGCAGCTAGGATAATAACCACCAATGCCAAGAGAAGGCAAGTAATTTTTTTTTTTTTGGGTCCGGTCATGGGGCCTGAACTCTGGGCCTGGGTGCTGTCCCTCAGCTCTTCAGCTCAAGGCTAGCACTCTACTACTTGAGCCACAGCGCCACTTCCGACTTTTTTCTTTTTGCTTATGTGGTGCTAAGGAATTGAACCCAGGGCTTCATGCATGCAAGGCAAGCTCTCTACCACTGAGCCACCTTCCCAGCCCCAAGGCAAGTAATTTTAAATTCAGTTTCTATTCAATTGCATGCTAAGGTTAGTATAAGTGAAATCTGACTAGATCTTACAGCTAGCCAAGAGATAAAATAGATTATGATAAGGTGTAACAAACACTAACAAAGTTCAGCCAAACTTTCAATCATACCTAAGAACTGGAGGAGAAACTCCACAGCAACCTACTTTCTGTAATTTTTGTAACTTCACCATAAAATGAACAGTTCAAAAATTAAGCGAAAGCTTATTTGCTTTTGCCAGCTCCCATTTGATAGTTATTTTACCCACAGCCTGGAACCTGGGACTTGGTTGCAGAGCACTTGCCCTGGGTTTAACCTACAGCACCATGAGGAAAAAAAGTTCTGCTACCATCTGGATGGTTTGTGAGAAGACAACTTTTATTTTATTTTTTTTTTTTTTTGTTGTTGTTTTTTGGGTCCGGTCATGGGGCCTGAACTCTGGGCCTGGGCACTGTCCCTCAGCTCTTCAGCTCAAGGCTAGCGCTCTACCACTTCAACCACAGCGCCACTTCCGGCTTTTTTTTTCTGCTTATGTGGTGCTGAGGAATCGAACCCAGGGCCTCAAACATGCAAGGCAAGTGCTCTACCACTGAACCACCTTCCCAGCCCCGAGAAGACAGCTTTTAGTGTAATGGGAAGGCAAATTGGAATTTATGGAACATCCCTGAGTTCACTATTGCTTTGCTTTTTTAAGTCTTGCTATGTAAAAGTAGGCTGGCCTTAGACTCAAGATTTGTTTTGGGGCTCGGAAGGTGGCTCAGTGGTAGAGCGCTTGCCTTGCATGCCTGAGGCCCTGGGTTCGATTCCTCAGCACCACATAAGCAAAAAGAAAAAAGCCGGAAGTGGCGCTGTGGCTCAAGTGGTAATGCGCTAGCCTTGAGCTGAAGAGCTGAGGGACAGTGCCCAGGCCCAGAGTTCAGGCCCCACGACCCGACCCAAAAAAAAAAAAAAGATTTGTTTTGACCCAAGGCTGGTGCTCTGCTACTTAAGGAGGCATAGCTCCACTTCCAGCTTATTGGTGATTAACTGGAGATTCTCACGTACTTTCCAGCCCAGGCTGGTTTCAAACCACAATCCTCATATCTCAGCCTCCTAAGTAGCTAGGATTACAGGTGTGAGTCACTGGTGCCCAGCCAGCCCAGCTTTTTGATAGCTAATTGGAGATGGAGTCTCAGGATCTTTTCTGCCCCATCTGGCTTCCAATTTTCCATAGTTTAGCCTCTTGAATTGCTAGAATTACAGGTGTGAGGCTTGGGTGCTCTACTGAAGTCAGTTTTAAATACTTTTCCATCTATTGAACATCTAACAAAACTCACATGGTCTCACCTTCTGGGAGGCTGCAGACTCATGAATAGAGCCAAAATAGGATCATCATTAACACATTACTATACAGTAAAGTGTGAACCCAGCCAGTGGGTGAAGTCACGGCAGTTTTGAGTAAATATAGATTAGCTCTATGTGGACGGCATCACTAGCTGGGGAGTTTTAAGTCTGGATCCCAAACTGTTCACACAGTGGTTAGATGACCACCAACAAGTCACTTAAACTTTTATAAAACAGTGACCACACTGGCTAACTCATCAGGGCTACTGAAAATAAAAATACGCCAACAAACCCTGAAAGAATGACAGAAATGTGAGATAAGGGGTAAAGGAGTAGATCAGTGATATTGATCTTGCCTAGTATGGATGAGGCTATGAACCACAAATAGAAACTATTTTTTTCTTTTTGTCAGTCGTGGGGCTTGAACTCTGGGCCTGGGCGCTGACCCTGAACTCTTTAGTTCAAGGTACTCTACCACTTGAGCCACAGCACCACTTTCAGTTTTCTGGTGGTCCTGCCAGGACTGGCTTTGAGCCATAATCCTCAGATCTCAGCCTCCTGAATAGCTAGGATTACAGGTGTGAACCACGGGTACCCGACAGAAACTTATTTAAAATCAGGCAACATGATTGGGTGAGAATTTTGTGTGTGCTGGAACTAGAGCTTGAACTGAAGGGCACTGTTCCTGAGGGATTTTTGTTTTTGTTTTTTGCTTAAGGCTAGGGGTGTACCACTTGAGCCAAGACTGTATTTCTGGCCTTTTGATGGTTAACTGGAGATAAGAATCTCACAGACGTTACTGCCCGAGCTGGTTTTTAATTGCTATCCTCAGATCTCAACCTCCTCCTGAGTAGCTAAGTTTACAGGAGTGAGTTACCAATGAGAATCTTGCCATACATAGTTCATCAGAGCTTGACGAAGAACCGAAAACGTACATTAGCATTTCGCTTTTACACTGGTCCGAGGCCTTGTGGCGGATAAGCACCTGGCTGTCATCCAACACTTCCTGGAACTTCAAACCTCGTGTTCTTCTCATTGCCCTGGTGACTGCTTCCTTCCCAAGCAGCAAGGGAAGATTTGAGCACAGTTGGGGTTATCCAAAGGAACGCCTCCGTAAAGTAATCTAGCAAGGAACACGTGAGAGGAGGTGACCCTGCTCGCCTCACGGAGGTTTCCGGTTCATCCTAGTCTCGAATAGTCCCGCTTCTCCAACAAGAAAATGCTGTCTCGCCATCAATCAGCTTTTTTCCCTAGGTCGTCGCGGACTGGGAGGGTGGGACTGTGAAGTTGTCGGAGAAGTTTAAGAACTTAATGGTGAACTCTAGGGCTTTCTAGAGGAGGCTCAAAGCGCGGGCAGGGCGGCGACGCCTTCTCTTAGCACGTCCATCCTCACGCAGCCCCAAAGTGGCCCTGGAGCCACTAGATGCATAAAACCCCGCTGCCGCCAACCACTCGGTTCACGCCAATACCTCCGCAGGGCGCCCAGCCAATGGGCTGGCCCGTTTCTGCGCAAGCGCGGTGGCCCAAGTCCCAGTGCGTAGTGGACGGGAGACTACAAATCCCAGCAGGCAATGCCGGGCGTCCCGAGGAAAAGGGGGCGGCGCTCGCCCAGCACCCAAGGATCCTGCAGGAGCAAGATGGCCGCGCCGGGGGCGGAGGCTCGAGGTTTCTGGTGCTAGCTAAGGTCCGGGTACCCCGCAGGCCCTTCCTCAAGTACCCTGAACGCCCCGCAGAAAGCATCGCGTCCCTAGTCCATAGATGCATGTAGACTTCTGTCGTTCTGCCTTTAGAGTCTTCCCCGTAAAGCCTTGGCTGGGACGGGGAACTCGCGACTTTCGCCCGCTCCGAGCTGGAATTCTGAGGCGGCTGCGGCTCGCGGCCCGCGGCCGGTCTAGGAGGTCCTTTTGTTCCGGCGAGGGCGACTAGCTCCGCTCCATGCCTTCGGGCGGGGGGAGGCGTGGCCTCCCTCTAGGCCGTCACCTCTACTGGTTGCTCTGCACTGTCATCTTAAAGCTCTGGTAAGGAGGGACGAATGGGAGGGGAAAGGAGGGCGCGGGAAGGGGGGGCACCAGTCGTCCCCGCCCCCAGGGATGCGGGACTCGCCCTCCGTGGACCGCGGAGGAGGGGCGCCCTGTGTTCTGGATTCTGACTTTTGCTCCTCTTCTCCTGGCTTCCTCTTCTCCCCCCAACCTGCTGCAGTCAAGCCGAGGCTTCCGCACCCGAGAAGCTGTCAGGTGGGTGATTGTCCTCGAACCAGACGCCTTCATAGTTTTAGTTTTTAGCATCTTCTTGTACCAAGAGTTTAGATGGAGAAGGACGGTACCACGGGGAATGAGGGGCAAGCACTTTGCTGGATGGGTGGATCCTTGGGGAGAAACGTTTTCTGAATGGTCTGGGGCTGGCATTTCTTTCCCGTTTTCAGTGAGCACCTCAACTTTACCGTGCTGGCTGGTGGAAGAGTTTGTAGTGGCAGAAGAGTGCACTCCATGTTCTAGTTTCCAGTCTGTGAGTAACTATTTTCTCTCCCTTTTTATTATTTTTTCCTCGAATTTAACCAGACCGAAGACGTATTTAGCATTGTCTTTTCTTCCTTCTCCTTGCAGTCGATATGTCCAAATATAAACTTGTCATTCTTCTGAAAATGTGACCTTTTGTTTCCAGTTTAATGACAGTATTCAGCTGATAGCTATGTCCTACTTACATTTTAGTAGATTCTGAATCTATCCTTGCCTAGACTCTTGCCCCTGAAGTTTTTTGGTCCTTTGTTTTTTGTGCTGATTTGAACTCAGTCCCAGCACTATCTCAAAGCTGGTGCTCCGTCACTTGAACCACAACTCCCTTTCTAGCTGTTTGGTAGTTAATAGAACATAAGAGTCTTGAGGGTTTGTCTGCCTGGGCTGGTTTTGAACTGTTTTCTTTAGATCTCAGTTTTCTGAGTAGCTAGGATTACAGGAGTGACCCATTGGTGCCTGGCACACCTGAAATTCTTTCCAACATATGCCCCCACTTATAAAGCCACCACCTCCAACATCCACATCAGAATTCCTCACTAGCTCTCTGTTGCCTGCCACCTCTGGCTATAGCAGTTGAGCAGCTGCAGCCTTCTGTTTCTCCTGCTGCTTCCTGGTAACATGTGCTTTGGTTCTTTTCTTCTGGTAGAAAACCACCCCTGAGTGTGCTTCTACAGGGTATGTGGAAAAAATCACATGCAGTTCATCTAAGAGGAATGAGTTCAAAAGGTAAGAACTATTTAACTCTTCAAGATCACCTCTTTTGTTCCTATCGGTAGGCAGTTAGTTCCAACCGTTTCTCCTGGTCTGGGTGTAGCATGACATATTAGACAAAAATTGAAAGCCAAGTCCTAGCTCCATTCCTCAAGAGTGCTCTACCACTTTGAGCCACAGCGACACTTCCAGTTTTCTGGTGATTAATTGGAGATAAGAGTCTCAAGGACTTTCCTGCATAGGCTGGCTTCTAACTGATCCTCAGATCTCAGCCTCCTGAGTGGCTAGGATTACAGGCATGAGCCACTGGCACCCAACTCTTATCAGTACATTTAATTCGGGACTGGTACAGTGTGAGTTCAGTCCACAACATTGTAAAAATAAATAAAAATAACAGAATTAGTTTGTCTTAGCTCTTCTTTTTTCACTAGACACTGTAAAGAAATGGGCTAACCTTGGCTTCCTTTTTTACTTTTGTATATTACATTGGTTAGGCTGAAGTAGAGATGGGAGATAAGGGACTGGGAAGTGGCTCAGGTGGCTAGGCAAGGGCAAGGCCTTGAGTTCAAACCCTGGTACAATTTTTTTTTTTTTAAATTGGGCATGGGCACTGAACTCTGGGCCTGGGCGCTGTCCTTCAGCTCTTCAGCTCAAGGCTAGCGCTCTACCACTTGAGCCACAGTGCCATTTCCAGCTTTTTCTGTTTATGTGGTGCTGAGGAATTGAACCCAGGGCCAAATGCATGCAAGGCAAGCACTCTACCACTGAGCCACCTTCCCAGCTCCTTTTATTTGGGGGGTAAGGGGGCCGGTCGCGGGGCTTGAACTCTGGGCTTGGGCTCTGTCTCTCACCTCTTCAACTCAAGGTGAGCGCTCTACGGCTTGAGCCACAGCACCACTTCCAGTTTTCTAGTGGTTTATTGGAGATAAGAGTCTCACAGACTTTCCTGCCCGGGCTGGCTTTGAACCTCAATCCTCAGATCTCAAACTCCTGAGTAGCTAGGATTACAGGTGTGAGCTACCAGTGTCGGCTCCTTTTTTTTTTTTAAGTAGAAATTGTCAGACTTTCCCTGGGAATAACTCTTCTTTTCTACCTTCAGCTGCCGCTCAGCTCTGATGGAACAACACTTATTCTGGAAATTCGAAGGGACTGTGGTGGGTGTGGCATTGGTCTTTGCTTGCCTTGTGATTATTCGTCAACGACAATTGGACAGAAAGGCTTTGGAAAAGGTTCGGAAGCAAATTGAGTCCATATAGCCACATTTCATCCTGTTATCCTGGATATTACAGACCATATCTCACACAGAGAAGAGGAATGGACTGATTTGCACCCTTGGTTCTTTGGAGCCTCGTGGTACCCTCTTTCCCCATCTTCTTTCAGCTCATTAATGAGCATAATAAAGAATAAAACAGTTTTCTTCTCTTCAATAGTTTGATTTGGGACAAGAAGTCATGGAGGCAGAGGGACTGGGAGAAAGGGGTAGCAATTTACCAAATACCTATCTTTCCCTGTCTTTTTTTTTTTTTTTTTGTCAGTTGTGGGGCTTCAACTCATGGCCTGGGCACTATCTCTGACATTTTTTGCTCAAGAGTAGCACTCTACTACTTTGAGCCACAGTGCCACTTAAGGTTTTCTGGTACTTAATTGGTGATAAGAGTTTCAGGGAGCTGGGCACCAGCGGCTCATGCCTACAATCCTATTCAGAAGACTGAGATCTGAGGATCAAGGTTCAAAGCTAGCCCAGGCAGGAAAGTCCATGAGCTGTGGCTCAAGTGGTAGAGCATTCGTCTTGAGCTTAAAAGCTCAAGGATAGCGCCCAGATTCAGAGTTCAAGCCCCATAGCTGACCAAAAAAAAAAAAAAAAAATTGTCTAGCCAGATGCTGATGGCTGAAGCCTGTAATCCTAGCTATTCAGGAGGCTGAGATCTGAGGATCACAGTTCAAAGCCAGCCTACACAGGAAAGTCCTTGAGACTCTTATCTCCAATTAACCACTCAGAAAACCGGAAGTGGTGCTATGGCCCACTGGTAGAGCGCTCACCTTACGCTGAAGAGCTGGGGGACAGTGCCCAGGCCCAGAGTTCAAGTCCCATGACCTACAAAAAGAAAAAGAAAGCCGTGCACTGGTGGCTCATGCCTGTAATCCTAGCTACTCAGGAGGCTGAGATCTGAGGATCACAGTTCAAAGCCAGCCCGGGCAGGAGAGACCGTAAGACTCCTCTCTCCAATTAACCACCAGAAAACCAGAAGTGGCGCTGTAGCTCAAGTGGTAGAGCGCTTGCCTTGTGCTGAAGAGCTGAAGGACAGCGCCCAGGCCCAGAGTTCAAGCCCCATGACTGACCAAAAAAAAGAAAAAGAAAAAGAGTCTCACAGACTTTCCTGCCCAGGATTGGCTTTGAGCTGTGATCCTCAGATCTCAGGGATTACAGGCGTGAGCCAGTGGCACCCAGCTTCCCCATCTTTTACCTCTTAAAATTTCTAAGTGTGGGGCTGGGAAGGTATCTCAGTAGTAGAGTGCTTGCCTTGCATGAGACCCTGGGTTCAATTCCTCAGTATCACATAAGCAAAAAAAGCCAGAAGTGGCTCTGTGACTTCAGTGGTAGAGCACTAGCCTTGAGCCGAAGAGCTGAGGGACAGCGCCCAGGCCCAGAGTTCAGGTCCCCCTACCAGACCTCCCCCCCCAAAAAAAGACCTTGTCTCAAAAAACAAACAAATTTTGGAACTATAATTAGAAAGTTTATTTCTCAGTAAAAGCATTTCCCCTCAACCATATAGCCCAAAAAGAATTAAAATCATAGGTACATAATGAGCACATTTGAGGTATATACCCTCACACTTAGCTAGACTGGGCCTCAGGATACTAACATCTAGAATGTCCTGAAGTGATTCAGACCCTTAAAGACAAGAGACCTGAGTCAGATACTAGATGGGAGCAGAGCCATAGGGGAGGCCTGGATTCCTTCTTGTGATTGGGAAGAAGGCCAGGAGGGACTCTGCTCCAGCTCACATCTCATCTGCATGCAGCACGGTTCTGACATGCCCAGTGGATCCATGCTTCACTCCCATCTTCTCAAGCAGTGTCTTTGTCGAGCTGTTTCTACTCCGAGCTCCAAGTGGCTTCCCCTGTTCGGGCTCTAACACTGGAGTCTCCAGACTTTCTGTTATGTCCTTATGAGTCAAGATGTTTCTGGAAATTACTGAAGTGAAGGAAAAGTATATTAGTAAAATTCCCCTTGGTACCAGATCCTCTACAGTTTAGGCCCTTTTTTTTTTTTATATATTGGTGTGTGTGTGTGTGTGTGTGTGTGTGTGTGTGTGTGTGTGTGTGTCCTGGGGCTTCAACTCAAAGACTAGGCACTGTCCCTAAGCTTTTTTTTTTTTTTTGGGTCAGTCATGGGGCTTGAATTCTGGGCCTAGACGTGTCCCTCAGCTCTTCAGCTCAAGGCAAGCACTCTACCACTTGAGCCACAGCTCCACTTGCAGTTTTCTGGTAGTAAATTGGGGATAAGAGGGCTGGGAAGGTGGCTCAGAGGTAGAGTACTTGCCTTGCATGCATGAGGCCCTGGGTTTGATTCCTTAGCACCACATAAGCAGAAAAAGCCGGAAGTGGCACTGTGGCTCAAATAGTAGAGCGCAGCCTTTAGCTAAAATGATGAGGGACAGCGCCCAGGCCCAGAGTTCAGGCCCCACGACCCAGGAGAAAAAAAAAAAAAATGGAGATAAGAGTCTCATGGACCTTCCTTCCCAAGCTGGCTTTGAACCGTGATCCTCAGATCTCAGCCTCCTGAGTTGCTAGGATTATAATGAGCCACCAAGGTCTAGCCCTTTTTTTTTTTTTTGCCAGTCCTGGGGCTAATGTGAACTCAGGGCCTGAGCACTATCCCTTATCTTCTTATGCTCAAGGTTAGGACTCTATCACATGAGCAACGGTGCCACTTCTGGCTTTTTCTGTGTATATGGTACTAAGGAATCGAACCCAGGGCTTCATGCTAAGCAAGCATTCTACACAGAGCCACATTCCCAGCCTTTCTCCTTTTTTTTTTTTTTTTTTGGGTCCGTTCGTGGGGCCTGAACTCTGGGCCTGGGCGCTGTCCCTCAGCTCTTCAGTTCAAGGCTAGTGCTCTACCACTTGAGCCACAGCGCCACTTCTGGCTTTTTTCTTTTTGCATATGTGGTGCTGAGGAATTGAACCCAGGGCCTCATGCATGCAAGGCAAGCGCTCTACCACTGAGCCACCTTCCCAGCCCCTCTCCTACTTCTTGAAGAACAGAGTCCTTCTTGCTCACCGGGGGAGCCTCCTTGCCCTTCATCTCTCACCTCCATGAGGCTGGTAATCCTCAGGCCCATCATCTGGTAAACCTTGAAAGGGGCTGAAGCTGGGCAGGATGATGAGAGCCAGGGAAAAAAGAAGAATCTGGAACAAAGCAAGAGGATATTTGGGCTGTGGGGACAGTAGAAGGGGCAGAGGGCAGAGTGAATGGACGGTAGTCAGGATTATCAAAGTTGGGAAGATTGTTATGGCTGGGTAATTGGGGTATCAGGGTGAAAGTGTGGGTGGCAAGTAGTGTTGATACTACCAGAACACAAGTGCTGGTCTGAGCAGCTTTATTGGAGGTTTGAGCAATGAGCGCCTGTAGCTGGCGGAGCTGAGCCACCAAGGACCTAGGAAAGGAAGCATGTAGAATTAATGTCTTCTGAGAGCACCTAAGAATGGTTCCCTTGTGTGCTACACCCCTGCCACCTCCCAGCACACACAAACCCAATGCTGTCACTCACATGTTATGCCTCTCCAGCTCCTGGACTTTTTTCTGTAGTTCTTGGTTCTGTGCAGAACAGGCCGCCACTCTAGGGAGTATGAAGAGGAACAAGGCTCAGTAATGTTGAGTTCCTCATCTTGCCTGCCTTGGTGAGGGAAGAGGCCCAGACATGCCCCACAGGAAGCCCGAGATAGGACCCCAAAGGTACCTGCTCTCCAGCCCATCGATGTATTCTTTTTTGCGCCGTCTACTGTCCTGAGCTGACTGCTTGTTACGGATTTTCCTCCTGACCTTCTTGAGGACCCTCTCCTCTGCCTGCAAGGCCAGGTGCATCAATCCAGGCCCAGAACCTCCCACGTCTCCCCAACTCTTCCCTGGGATCTGGCACCTCAGAGACCACAGTGGAGTCCTAGGCTGGGATCCCCTTTAAGGAAGGGTGTTACCTTGGTAAGGGGCAGGTGAGAGGGCAGAGAAACCCCTTCTTGACCCAGTAGACGCTTTTCCTCATCTGTCAGGAACAGAGTTTGACAGGGCAGCTGGGGGGGGGGGGTTGGAAGGGGACAGGGACACAGGAGATCAGATGGGAGTAAGGTGAGGGTCATCCTCTTTCCAGGCTGCTCCTCACCCTGAGCATGCCTTCTGGCTAGTTCTCTACATGCATACTGCAGTAACTTCAACTTAGGGGTAGAGATTTAACTCAGACTCTGGAATCATGTCAGAAACCTGAGACTGAAAAGGGAGAGGAAACATGGTTTGGCCGTATGTTTCTGAGCAACCTGAAAAGAAGGGCTATTCTGGTGCCTGTCTCCTCAGACCTTAGAAGCATCTGAAGGTGAACTCACTGTGGTAACTTTTGCTTAACTTCCTTATAGCAGGTAAATATTTCAGTCATTAGCCTCCATATGGTAGCGTATCCCATTGCTTGTCACTGGGACTCATGGCCCCTGCTCCTCAAGGGCTTGAACTCCATTTTTTCAGCTGAGGCTCTGTCTACTTTCAGATAGAGAATACCTGAAGAGCAGCCAGACTGAACAAACTTCTGCAAAGTATATGGGAATGGTAGATGGTGTTTGTGTTGTTTTTGTTTGTTTGTTTTGCCAGTCCTGGAACTTGAACTCAGGGCCTGGGCACTGTTCCTGAGCTTCTTTTACTCACAGCACCACTTCCAGCTTTTTCTGTTTATGTGGTAGTGAGGAATCGAACCCAGGGCTTCATGCGTACTAGGCAAGCATTCTATCACTAAGCCACATTCCCAGCCTAGATGGTATTTCTAATCTACCTAAGCCATCATCTATGTCACTTGACTTCTCATGAATATTATTTTGATTTATACTTTGCTTTGTTATTTAAGAAGAATTTGCTTTGGCTTTTGCTTTCTAGTGGTCTGGGCTTTTTACTAAATCTGACTTTTCCTGGTGGTTCTGTTTCTATGTTTGGTGAACTACTGAGGAGGTATTTCTTCCAATTCATCTAAATAACAATTTCTGAGAATGGGGCATAGAGTGTTTGGTTAAAAAAAAACAAAAACAAAAAGCAAGGCTGGGTCAGAATCTCATGGCTTATGCCAATAATCCCAGCTACTCAGGAAGCTAAAGTCTGAAGATCATGGTTTGAGGCCAGCTTGGGCAGAAAAATCTGTGGAACTCTTATCTCCAGT